ACTCTAGTGTTAATACTAAATTATAATTGTAATTATTTTGCACTATGGCCTATTTATTGCCTTACCTCCATAACTTACTACATTTGCACACACTGTATATAGATTTTCTATTGTGTTATTGACTGTACGTTTTGTTTATTCCATATGTAACTCTGTGTTGTTGTTGTTTTTTCTGCACTGCTTTGCTTTATCTTGGCCAGGTAGCAGTTGTAAATGAGAACTTGTTCTCAATTGGCTTACCTGGTTAAATAAAGGGGAAATAAAAAAATAAAAAATAAAAACGACCCTAAGGACACAGCCAAGACAACTCAGGAGTGGATTCGGGACAAGTCTCTGAATGTCCTTGAGTGGCCCAGCCAGAGCCCAGACTTGAACCCGATCGAATATCTCTGGAGAGACCTGAAAATAACTGTGCAGCGACGCTCATCATCCAACCTGACAGAGCTTGACAGGATCTGCAGAGAGGAATGGGAGAAACTCCCCAAATACATGTGTGCCAAGCTTGTAGCGTCATACCCAAGAAGAATCTAGGTTGTAATCCCTGCCAAAGGTGCTTCAACAAAGTAAAGGGTCTGAAGACTTACGTAAATGTGATATTTCATTTTAAAATTTGAATAACATTCTAAAAACCTGTTTTTGCTTAGTCATTATGGGTTATTGTGTGTAGATTGATAAGGGGAAAAATGATTTAATCAATTTTAGTATAAGGCTGCAATGTAACAAAATGTGGAAAATGTCAAGGGGTCTGAATACTTTCCGAATGCACTGTATACAGTAATACAAGACAATGGTTCTGCTAGCAAACAAACACATACATAATCAATCAATTGGACAAATGGCCTGAACAGTGTTACTCACGTTGTGAACGATAGTGAGGTTGACTGTGCGTCCGATCTGTATTTCATAAGTATCACCACTTTCGCTTGCTAAACCAGTGTGGTTGACTTGCCACCTCACCACAAGGCTCTGTGTAGCAACATTAGCCTTCAGCTCAGATATTATTGGCCGGGGAGGTTTACTGCCTGCTAAAACAACAACATATAGCTAGCTCTCTTATAGGCATGCTCTTAATTCAACAATCACATCTGTTTCTGTGTAGATCATACATTTAATCTGACTGTAAATTGCTATGTACACTTACAATACTACACTATACAACTTTGAGTTGACCTTTGACTTCATACAAAAAAGGTCTTACCTGATTCCAAGCAGGATCCATTTAGATATACAGAGAAAGTTAAAAGGAACATAAGCACATTAATAAACCAGGATATACCGCAGTGCATCCTCTAACCTCTCAGAGCAAACTGTCCTGTTCAAATGAATGATACTAGTAAAACTACAGGTCTAATGTTGCTGAAGGTCCTTGTAGCCTCTGTTCCTCCAGACAGGTGTTCATTCACTGTCCACACTGACTGATTGTGAGTTGACGTCCAGGAGTGAATCAGAAGTAGTTATGATATTGACATTGGGCATTGTCAGCCGACGGGCTCAGTATTGAGCAATAATGTGGTTTTTTGAGTAGGAGTTGGGGGGACACTAGAGGGCACTGTGGTAAAGCAGCCTTCAGCATATGGACTAAATCTGTCCAATGGCAGCCTGTTGCTGATGGGAGTTGGATGTAGTTGCCTGGAAACTGATCTAAGGTCAGTAAATATTTTGGGGAGGACGTCATGACGTTGAAAATGTAATATTACTGAGTAATTGCATAGGCTATTCCATTGATAGTAGCCTGGCACGGATGGGAACAAGACAGCCTATATAAAACTGTGGACTATCCACCCAAAATAAAAACGCTATATAATTGTTGGTTATGCATTTTATAGTATTTAGTTAATATGGCACAAGGCACAGGTTTCTTTCAATTATACAGATATTACAACTTAAGGGGGAAAACATCCATATTACACAACATCAACAAAAACATAACATTATACAAACAGTGCATGAATACGTCACAATAAATAACAAAGAAACAAAATCAAAATAAACCAACAAATCTGTAAGCTGTATTTTCTATTTAGAGTAATAAGCAAGCTATATTAAACAAACATCTTGACAACGGACATTTGGCACATAGTAGAGTAGGGGTGCTGAGGGTGCTGCAGCGCCCCCTGAAAAATCAGGATAAAAATAAATATATTCATAAAAATAAAAATACAATTATATATTTTTTCCACAAAAGTAGTGCACTTGGCCTTTACTAGTCCTGTAGTAGCGGACCGATATAGCCGTCTGTAGCGCATGCAACAACAACAAAAAATCGCAGCACCCCCCACCCCCAAACATCTTCCCTTTAAGCCCTAGTAGATAAAAACTCAAAGAGATCCCCAAAAATCCACCCAAAATGTGCATGTCATCAGTGAATTTTTTAATTGTTCAGTTTTTGCCGTGTACTGAAATTGCTTTATCTTGACAGCTGATTAGTTTTTTTGTTTTTTTTACAGCTGATTAGTGAACAAAATACTAAAATATAGTTTTTGAACAAACTACACCTTTAACACTGAAGAGTGTGTCCTAACTTCTTATGGGAGTGCCCTGCATCCCTGTAATTCAACGAGGGAAATTAAGACCATCATACAAGTGCAACTAGGTTTGACAAGAGAAGCACAATAACACAAAGCACACCACATTGAAATACCTATAGTTTTTAGGAGCTTTTGGGAACAAAGGCACATTGGTTTGAGTATCCACTAAAGAGAGGGTTACTTACATACAACACATACTGCACTCTTAGAATTAGCGGCGACTCGAGGAACCCCAGATATCCTCAAGGAACACTTGGAGTTCCTCAAGGACTCATTGCTAGTCAATGGTTGATATTTGCACCTTTGGTTAGTTGAGAGGTTCTTGGAGGAACCTTTAATGTTGCAATGTAATAACAGGTTCCTGGAGGAACCATGGAGTAGAGCCGTGGCTTAGTAGGGGAGTGGCTTTAAGATATATATATTTTTTAAATGTCATTCCTGTTCATCTGTTCTGTTCTATTGTCTTCACATGTTAAAGTTGAACACTGACAGTTTTGTAGCTTTAATGAGGCTTACAGAGATTTAGGAGTTCCTCAAGAGCCTTTGCAATTCCCAAAGTTGGAATAGTTACAATTTATTAATACATGTAATCAGCTATGTTTATATTATTATTATGAAATAATAATAATAATTATTATTATTATTATATTAGAATATGTAAAATACATAAATATTGATGAAAAATTGAAATTTGCAGTATACAAATTTAAGATGATGAACAGGAATTACATTTAATCTCATGGGTCCCTAAAAATAACTATCTGAAAACCACGCCTCCAATAAGCCATGCCTCCAATCTTCAAATAGGCTGCCACCTCTACAATATATTATTAAAAAGGTTGAGAACTGAACCCCTCCCATCACAAAAAGGTTCCGGTTTGAATCTTTACCCAGCGGTTCCTCGAAGAGGGGTTCCTCAAACAACCTTTTTGAACTGGAAAGGTTCAGCCCAAAAAGGTTCTTCCAGGCAGCTTTACTTCTAAGAGTGTGTACGATAAGGCACATATTTCCCGCAAATAAAAATGCGTTCTTATTTCTGATTACATACAGGAACTCAAAACTTGACAAAATGCATTAGTATTTCCTTAAAGATCATACTTTCAGTCATGGCAATAACTAAATATGAGGACAAAAATGTTTTAAGTATACAAAACATTAAGAACACCTGCTCTTTCCATGACATAAAATGACCAGGTTAATCCAGGTGAAAGCTATGATCCCTTATTGATGTCACTTGTTAAATTCACTTCAATCTATGTAGATGAAGGAGAGAAGACAGGTTAAAGAAGGATTTTTAAGCCTTGACACAATTTAGACATGGATTGTGTATGTGTGCCATTCAGAGGGTGAATGTGCAAGACAAAAGATTTAAGTGCCTTTGAACAAGGTATGGATAGTAGGTGCCAGGCGCACCGGTTTGAGTGTGTCAAGAACTGCAACGCTGCTGGGTTTTTCACGCTCAACAGTTTCCCGTGTGTATCAAGAATGGTCCACCACCCAAAGGACATCCAGCCAATTTGACACAACTGTGGGAAGCATTGGAGTCAACATGGGTCAGAATCCCTGTCGAACGATTGCCCAATTGTAATCACGCCTGCCTCTTTGCGAATGAGTGGAATCATGAACAGTGGTTTGTTCATTATGTTTGCCTGCGTTCCCCAGATTTGCTTCCCGGATTTGCCTTTTTAGCAGCACATTCACTACTCTCTCAAACTGCTAAATCTGCCCTCTCGCGGCACAGGCAGAGAGCGACGTGAAAGGACCTACCCCAGCTCGCAGTCAGCTCAATAGGCAACTAGTCTAGAGACACTGCTGACAGTGTGTTTGCGAGATGCCTAAAATTTTAAAACTGTCCCGCTACTCCAGTCGTGTCTACAGACATCACCCAAACAAAAACAAACAAAAAAATCTCAGAAAATGAGTGCACAACTGGTAAATAGTCGCTTATAGATATGTCAGTCAGGTGGCTATCTGCCGGCAGAGACTTCTATTGCAGTAAGTTGAAGGGCTCTGGCTAGTATTAGCCAGCTAGAAGGATGAAGTAAGAAGCTAATGTTAAACGCAGCCTACCTCAGCAGGAGCAAAAAATACACTACTAAGTTATCATAATAACTTTGCTTTACAGAGAGTAGGCTACTGAGACAGACAGTGATGTGGCGCTCAGTGGTGAGGCTAAAGCAGGCTGCAATGCATGCAGGAGGAAGCAGATGAGACAGCGAGAGAGAGGAAGCAAGCAGAGAGAGAGATTAGTACAGTGGTTCCTAAACTTGGGGTCGGGGCCCGATGTGAGGTCCCCTGAGAAATTCTGTACTAATCTTATCAAACAAGTTAGGAACTTTAAAAATTTATGTTTTAATATGAACATATCCACATGGCCTATCTTCCCTATAGGCCAACATTAAAATGCAATCAAAATGCAAACAATACAGTTCTAAAAATGTAATGTGTTTTTGTTTCGTCGCTTCCGGACCTCACTAAAACTCAAACCCTAGTTACGGCCCTGCATTCCCATTTTTTGTCAAAAACATAGGAACTAATTATAACACTTTCATACTGTACACTTTACACACACGCACACACACAAAGGCAGAGAGGGGGTACATTCTAGACAGATGTACGTAAGGCAGCTGGCACTGCACACTTCTCCCCCATCACTCCATCAGTCTTGCATTCCTCAGAGGTACACAATGTTCTCCTCTCCTCCATCCTCCCCGTTCTGTCCATCCAAAGAGAGGTAGGCCTGTGGGGTGAGGAGGGGAGTGAGGGAGGCCGAGGCAGGGAAGTTCTCCTCGTACAGACCCAGGCCTGTGACCTCTGACCCCAATGAACGCAACAACCCCAGGGTCAGCCTGTCCCGAGGAGGGCTGAAATCTGACAGAAGAAAACAAGCAACATTATCGGCCGATCCCAAATCAACCCCTTGCACCTCCATCAACCTCTTGCCCCTCCCTATATGCATTTGTGTGGATCAGAAAGGACTAAATATTTGTAAGAAACATGTCAAAATTCCACCTAGCATATCAGAGAACAAGGTGGGGTAACTGTTACCACATTGCTTAAACTAGGGGTTCTCAAACCTTTCCTGTCCGGGACCCCTTTTTGTGATAGCAAATTCATCAGGGACCCCCTCATAATCAGAACACAACTCGAGTGAGATATAAATAGCATACAAGGAGTTCTACTATTGCTTTGGCAGTGCACGGCCCAATGAACCAATTCTCGGGCCCTGGAAGGAACATTTTAAAGGCCCATCTCTTGAAGTCTGAGGGAAAATAATTCAAGCAAATTTCTTGCAATTCTACCCATTTTTTTAACGGGACAGAGATATTTTTTGTTGTTGCAGTTTTAAAGTTAATGTCCTGCAATTCTACAAATTTTGCCATGAGGCAGAGAGAAAACTTGGCAATTTTAAATCTTAAATTACAGTGCATTTATGTTTTTTTTTTTATACATTAAGTATTGAGTTGAAAAATTTATAATTGTTGGAGTACTGTGGATATACCAATATCCCTGTGAGCCTCCCAGGCCCTTGTTGGCCCAGGGTTAAGAACATCAATTATAGATTAATAATATTACAAGGTATTGTATTGTATTACACTCATTAAACTTATTTGTTTAATATGTTGTTGTTAGTAATGTGATGTTTTTATTTTTATCTGTCCGCAGTACCCGCGGATCCCACTTTGAGAAACCCTGGCTTAAACCATACAAATCCTCTGAGATCCACACAGATCTGCGGTCTATCACAGCATCATACTCACTGTTATTATTGGGCGCCTCATGTCCTGTGGTGAACCTGCTCCCAAAGGGGTTGTTTGGGGAGTTTCCTGGCTGGAGGTGGCTGTGCTGGGGGTGGGCATAGTGTTGGTGTGTCAGTGAGTCTGTGGCTGGTTTACTGTGGGCCTGGCTGAGCAGAGTGTTGAGGCTGTTGTAGAGGCTGGGCCTGAGGCTCAGGTTGGGGCTATGGATTGGGCTGTGATTGGGGCTGTCCTGGCTCTTCCTCAGCCCAGAGTGGAGGCTCTGGTGCTGGTTGTGGTGGAGACGATTCTGTTGGAGGGAATGGAGGAGAGCAGCCTCGTTGCCGTCCAGGCTGCCTGACCGACTGTGGTTGGACACCTGAGGAGGGGGAGAGGGTGGGGAGAAGAAAGTAGGAGTACATTTCAGCAGAGCACACTCACAATAACACAGACACACACAATCCTACCAACCCCCACACCCCACCTTACACATTTGTTCATATTTCCCATTTTTCTCTCTTAGATTCACATATTCACTCACTCCTTCCCTTTCTCTGTCTCACACCATCTTTCACCCCCCCCCCCCCCCCTTTCCCTCCTTGTCCCCTCCCCACCCACCTAATCTTGTTCACCAGACACTTCCACCCAATGCTCGGAAGGTCTGGTGGATCAATGTGCCAATTGTGACCTTCGTTAACCCAATAGAAAGAATGGAAAAAAAGTCCAGATTCATAGCCATTGGCTTAATCTGTAATGTTTTGATTATACCGGAAGCTACAAATCAGTAAGGAATCTTCAAGCTCTTCCTTTGTGGGTGTATATATCTAAACAGCATGCACAACATCAAGGTGTCAAAAGCATGGTTTCAAAAGCTTGCTAGGGAGACCCTCCCTCCTCTGATTGGTTATCGGACGGCCATGTCGTTGCCAATTTGCATAAACTTGGGACTCTCTGAGCTCTTGTCACCGAGCTCAGAGTCGCCGACTGTTAAGTCACTGAATGTATCCTTGTGTTTCCTGCCCCCATTGAAAACAACTGGTGACTGGTAGTTTGGTCGCTAGAGGTCTGTCCTGGTATTATCGAGCCGTAATCAATCACCTCTCTCCAAACCTTCCCCCGAACACCACGTCTGATGCAACATGGAGATTTCAGCTGTTTGAGTCCATTCTATCATTTTTATTAGGATAATTTGTTTTCCCCACAAGATTGACACACATTGACCACACATATTTGGATGTATAGCCAGCAAGGCGTCTACATTAAGTTAGCTAGCTACCGTTTATCATCTCAAACTTAGGGGAATGATTTTACTGCCACACCCACACACACATTTTCTGATTCGGAGCCACGACTTGCAATCGTGTGATTTGCTAAGTTCAGAAATTATTATTATTTTAAAAATGTACTCCAACATAGGCCAGATTTGAGTCATTGTTCTTCCAGGCTTATCTGCACCAATTAGCCTTGGGAAGAGGTTACCGCCCACCTGGTCCAGGTCCAGCGGTATCATAATGGGCAGGGAACTCTGGCGGTTGTGTCTCCAGCTCTGGAGCAGCCTGTGCTCGGCTTCCACCCTGTCCCTGTCCCTCTCCACGCTCCTCTGGCCCTCCCTCAGCCTCTCTAGGCTCTGCTGGTACTCCAACAGCTGCTGCTCCAGCTCTTCCCGCTCGCGGCGCAGCCTCTCAGCCTCCAGGTGGCACTGTCGATACGATGCTCAGCAGACCTCTAGTCTCCCCTGTCATTCAGAAGAAGAGTATTGGTCATCGTAGCAGCTGGGATGCACGCTAGTTATAAAGGATTAGATGATCAAATCCGTGCTATGACACTCTTATGTCACCCTGTGTCATTCTTATATCAGCGTTATGATTGTCTTATGTAGTGTTCTCCTTGACCAGACCCTTAATCTCCTGTCAGATTGTGCTTTGGCACTACTATGTCACCCTATGTAATTCTTAAGTCAGTATTATGACAAGATAATGTATTGTGAGTGTTTACCTGTTGTCTCTCCCTGGCCAGACACTCTCTCTCCCAGCGCTGCTGGTCCTGTCTCAGCCTCCCCTGTAGCTTCTGAATCCCCTCCACCTCCTCTCTCCTCCTTTCCACACTCCTCCTCTCTACCTCCTCCTTTTTCTTCTCAGCACTCTGCTGTTTCTCCTGCTCCTGGGCCCCATTGCCATGGAGACAGGAGGGGGTGTGTGGGGGCAGGCTCTCTAGCTCCAGTAGGAGGAGCTTCTGGACCTCATAGCAGCTGTCCTGGATGGTCACAGCTGCCTGCACACACCAATACATAGTATTTACATGGTATTTACACATAGACCCAGGCCCATCCTCCTAGACCCTAAACACTTTGGTGTGGGCAGATCAAAATTTATCAACATAGGTTTAAGTAATTTGGTGATGGCTATAAGTAGCCTTCCAGGCTAAGGGATGCTAGCACCTTGGGGTTGTTTGATGACTAGGGTTAAAGAGAGTGTGCCGTTTCTCACCTGCAGACTGTAGAGCAACTGGGTCAGGCTCTGGACACTCTGTGCCACCTGCAGGATAAAATATGCCATTACAGGAGGACAGAGATAAAACTATGACATCTGTTAGCATTCCTTTGCCACACGAGCACACGTACAAACACACACACGTACGTTATGTTCTGTCCTTGTGGTGACCTAAAATGTATTTCCATTCAAAATCCTATTTTTCCTAACCTCTAACCCTAAACCTAACCCTAACCTTAACCCGTAACCCGTAACACTAACCCTAAACCTAACTCTTAACCCTAACCCTAAACATAAACCTAACCACTAAACCCTTACCCTAACCCTAATTGTAACCCTAATCCTAATTGTAACCCTAACCCCTAAACTCAAAATAGACTTTGTCCTCATGGGGAGAAGAACTAACCCACACCTATCCACACACACACCTTCATTGGTGTTCCCTTGGTGTCCCTTCTCCTCAGCTCGGTTATAGAGTGCCACAAGATGGTGTCTGGCCCCGCCCACTCGCCATCCGACACCAGAGAGGCCGAGCTCACACTGAGCGTGCTCAGATAGTCCACTACAGGGGGAGGACGCCAAAAACAGTCCATTTAAAGAAACAGTTCATGATTATAGTAGAATCTACCACTTTTGACATTCATTCTATTTTGGGGTAAACTATTCCTTTAATGTGTGGTTGTGTGTCTCATACTCACTCTCTGTGGGCGATTCCTGGGTAATTCCATAGTCGTTGGAGGTTGTGGTTAGGGATAGAGGTAGGGGGTTATTAGGGTTAGGGTTAGAGTAGTGACTCACACTCAGCGGGTGACTCCTGGATCCTGCAATGGCTCTTGTAGCTGCAGTACTCTGAGACTCTGACAGGGGGGCTGTGGCTGGGCTCAGTGGGGGCCTCACTGGCCTGCAGGGTAGACATCAGCTTCTCCGCTACATACAAAGAGAGAGAGCGAGAGAGGAAAGAGAAAAGAGATATCTCTCAATATACTCTCTAATATAAAAGGTGAGGATGCAGCTGTGCGTAGTGTGCCTGTGTGTGTGTGGTTCTCACCCTCTTTGAGTGCAGCTGTGAGTAGTGCAGTGGTCTGCGGTGGCATCTGAGCATCAGGGTCTGGTTGGACCAGTAGGTGCTGTGGCAGGGGCTCTGGCGTGTGAAGGGTTAACTCTGTCAGCTCTGCATACAGCTGTAGCTTCTCCTCCAGACCACTGCAGATACGCTGGTCCTGACTTGCCAGGGTGTCTGAAACAACGATATAGACCATGGATCACACTCAGTTTAAAGGGAAGTCCTGTATATTGCAACGTAATGTTGGATGGTTCCTCAACCTGAAATGAGTCTATTGGCCAGGAGAAAATGTAATATATGGTAATAAAGTCAGCTGAAGTTTGTAATGGCTATTTAAAGAAAACCAAGCCATGGATTACAGTTTCTCCTGGCCCATAGACCCCCAAAAAGTTAATAAAAACGCAACAAAGTGTCTGAAATGGGAATGGTTAAGTCCATGATGAATGTGAAGGGATGACTGATGTGTCTTACCTTGGAGTTTGTGGATCTTCTGAACTCTCAGCTCAGTGTTCCGTCTGACCTCCTCAGTCTCAACACTTCTCTCTTCCTCCTCCTCAGGACAACTAACACACAGCACAGGGGTTTAGGGACAAAATATCACTCACACACAGTCTTGTACAGCCAACCTTGTGGGGACACACAATTCAGTCCCATTCAAAATCCTATTTTCCCTAACCCCTACTCTTACCCTTACCCAAACTTTAACCCTAAACCTAGCTCCTAGCCCTAAAACTAACCCTAGCTCCTAACCCTTAACATAATTGTAACCCTAACATTAATTCTAACCAGTGGAAAAAGCATGCACGCACACACACACACACACACACACACACACACACACACACACACACACACACACACACACACACACACACACACACACACACACACACACACACACACACACACACACACACACACACACACAGTGTGTGGCTCAGTCAGTAGAGCATGGCACTTGAAACGCCAAGGGTCGTGGGTTTGATTCCCACTGGGGCCACCAGTACCTAAAATGTATGACTGTATGTCGCTTAGAATAAAAGCGTCTGCTAAATGGCTTATTATTATTATAAACACACCTCTCTACGGCCCGTCGTATGTGTCTCATCCAGGCGTTCCTCTCTTCTTTCGAGGAGGTATGAACCTCATACATCTCAGGCCCCACTGAGGAGGCAGAGATTAGGAACATCCCTCTCTCCTCATTGGCTACCTCTCTCACAATCAGCTTCTGCAGGGGGAATGACTGGGGGCTTCTGGTCCTGGGGAGGGACAGTTTAAACAAGATCATTTCCGGGAGAGAGCACTACTGGCGTCCTGTCTGACTGCCGGTTCTCCCTGGTTCCCTGTTTAGTTTAATTATTCTTTGCTATTTCTTTCTCCTTTTTTGTTTTGTCTACTTTTCAGCCTATTCTAAGTGAAGTACCGGAGTTCTGCAACTTTTTTTAATTAAAATGAGTAGAGCATGGAAATCGTTCTAACATCCACCTTGAGATTTCAGTAGTGAGCGACATTTGATATTACATTAAATGGGCATTCTGGGATTTAAACAACAACAAAGCAGTCACGTCGGCACTTTTTTGGAAAACAGCTGAATGATGGGGCTGGAGAAATGTATACACTCTCAAATTCATAGACGGAACTATGGATGCAAGGACTGACCATCCATGAAATTAAAATGATAGTACCAATCCCAGTCTACCCCTTTAAATTGCTCTCATGCCATGTATAGTGCATTCGGAAAGTATTCAGAACCCTTCCCTTTTTCCACATTTTGTTACGTTACAGCCTTATGGATTAAATAAATGTTGTTCCTCATCAATCTACGCACAATACTCCATAATGACAAAGCGAACAGGTTTTTAGAAATATTTGCACATTTTTAACAAATTAAAAACAAAAATACCTTATTTACATAAGTATTCAGACCCTTTGCTATGAGACTCGAAATTGAGCTCAGGTGCATCCTCTTTCCATTGATCATCCTTGATGTTGTTTCTACAACTTGATTGGAGTCCACCTGTGGTAAATTCAATTGATTGGACATGATTTGGAAAGGAACACACCTGTCTATATAAGGTTGACAGTGCATGTCAGAGCAAAAACCAAGCCATGAGGTCGAAGGAATTGTCCGTAGAGCTCCGAGACAGGATTGTGTGATTTGGGGAAGGGTACCAAAAACATTTCTGTAGCATTGAAGGTCCCCATCATTCTTAAATGGAAGTTTGGAACCACCAAGACTCTTCCTAGAGCTGGCCGCCTGGCCAAACTGAGGGGAGAAGGGCCTTGGTCAGGGAGGTGACCAAGAAACCGATGGTCACTCTGACAGAGCTCCAGACTTCCTCTGTGGAGATGGGAGAACCTTCCAGAAGGACAACCATCTCTGCAGCACTCCACCAATCAGGCCTTTATGGTAGAGTGGCCAGACGGAAGCCACTCCTCAGTATAAAGCACATGACAGCCCGCTTGGAGTTTGCCGAAAGGCACCTAAAGGACTCTCAGACCATGAAAAATAAGATTGTCTGGTCTGATGAAACCAAGATTGAACTCTTTGGGCCTGAATGCCAAGCATCACATCTGGAGGAAACCTGGCACCATCCCTACGGTGAAGCATGGTGGTGGCAGCATCATGTTGTGGGGATGTTTTCAGCGGCAGGGACAGGGAGACTAGTCAGGATCGAGGGAAAGATGAACGGAGCAAAGTACAGAGAGATCCTAAACGAAAACCTGCTCCAGAGCGCTCAGGACCTCAGACTGGGGCGAAGGTTCACCTTCAAACAGAACAAAGACCCTAAGTACACAGCGAAGACAACGCAGGAGTGGCTTTGGGACAAGTCTCTGAATGTCCTTGAGTGGCCCAGCCAGAGCCCGGACTTGAACCCAATCGAACATCACTGGAGAGACCTGAAAATAGCTGTGCAGCGACACTCCCCATCCAACATGACAGAGATTGAGTGGATCTGCAGAGAAAAATGGGAGAAACTCAAATACACGTGTGCCAAGCTTTTAGCATCATACCCAAGAAGACTCGAGGCTGTAATCGCTGCGAAAGGTGCTTCAACAAAGTGCTGAGTAATGGTCTGAATACTTATGTAAATGTGATATTTCTGTTTATTTATTTTTTAAATGTACATTTTCATAATGGGGTATTGTGTGTAGATTGATGAGGGGGGGAAAAACAATTTAATCATTTTAGAATAAGGCTGTAACGTTACAAAATGTGAAAAAAAGTTAAGGGTCTGAATACTTTCAAAATGAAATGTAATTACATGTATATCTACTTAAAGATGTAATCTGCAATAGGGGGAAACAGTGCCACTGGCCACCCCAACACCGTTGTTCTTGTTTTTGTTGCCGAGGTGAGGACTGTCGCGCAGCATGGTAAAAAAAAATTGCTGTACATATTGTGCTTTTGATGTCCGAGGGGAAAAAAACTTTGTTAGTTGTTTTCAGTAACTTCTTTGCTGTTGTAATATCACAAAGGGACGTGGCTGTTTCACCATTAAAGGGATACTTCAGGATTTAGGCAATTAAATATGTTATCTACTTCCCCAGAGATGAACTCGTGGATACCATTTTTATGTTTCTGCATTCAGTATGAAGGAAGTTAGAGTAGCAACGGTCATCGAAATTGTTAAAAGGTTTTAAAAACAATTCTAATAAATGCTACAGTTGGACAATGGATGAAGATACTCCAAACTTTTTGAAATGTATAATCCATCAGCTATTGACTGAATTATAGCACATAAAATGTTTTACTGGCACGGACAAATAATGAGTTCTGTGATTTTGGGCGGAATTCATGTATTCAATTTATTGTCAAATTTTACTTACTTATTTCTTAGAATGCAGTCATTCTGTATATACATGTTCTTTTTGCATCAGTTATTTTGTTAATATTTTGTGTTAAAATAAATACAATTATATGTGCCTCATTTGCATAATTACATAGGTGTATTTGCATATATGAATACATTAAAATAAAGGGGAGGAACAGGGCTGCAACCACCAAACACTTACTCTGTCTACCCCACCTGCACTCACCTGCGCTATCTAGACTGGCTTATTAATTACTGTTGTTGTCGCGTTCTCTTGTATAATTCAACAAGTGTGTCAATAGCAGGATACCCTCAGATTAAAAATCAACAAACTTGGTTCAAGATAACACCTATCTAAACGTACTTTACATTGTTTGCGAGATCAGACATAATATCACTATAATCCGAGTGTTCATTTTCAGAAGTTGCTTTTATTTCAGCGCATCTAATTTGTAAACATTTCAAATGTATTAAATTATTATTTCTTTTAATTCCACAAAATATTAACAGCCATCAAAATAAAGTTATCTTTCTTCTCTTTCTTGTGATATAAGTGTCGAGACGATGCGTTAAATCCCTGACGAAGCTTTCTTAGAGATTCAACGGAAAGCCAATGTATCCCATTGAACCCATTTCAGCCATTACAGGGATGTGTTTGAGAGGTCATTACAAACATTTCCTTGGTCGTAACATTAACGGGAAAAATCGACAGGCACAAGCAAAAGTATGAAAAAGTAGTAAAATTAAAGAAATCAATCCAGCGAGATGGATTTTGCACCCCTCAAACACAGGAAATAGATGGCTAAAAAAGACAGATCCTCAGGTGGGTGGGGCATGCGCGTTGCTATTTAAAGGTAGTTTCACAAGCCAATCATGCTAGCTGTCCCCATATACTTCTAGTCATTGCGCTAACACTAATGAGTTCAACTGACTCTGGGGAAGTAGACAAAGGGCTTGATTGCCAAAATCAAGCATCCCTTTAAGAATTCATTTTTGTTACTTTTTGGGGGATTTTCTTATCTTTTTAGGTAGGTAATGTAATTGCAGATAAGGCATGAGGTAATGAAATAATGATTGGAGTGTAATGTAACGAGAATGACCAAACTGGCATACCACGGCAGCAAATATGAACCTCTGGTCCTTCTCCTGCAGGAACACCAGCACATCAGTCAGCAGCAGAGCCAGGGTGTCTGCAAAGAGAGTGGGTGAGGGAGATTGTTATAATAGACACTGTTGTTGCCTAGGGTCGTCCAGAAGTATAAGCCACTGCCTCCAGAACCCATACCGCTGCAGCATGGGTTCGAATTTGGCCAACTGCTATTTCAGAAACTCTCTCCTCTATCTTTCCACTTTATCTATCCTATCATAGCATATCATATCTCCCGAGTGGCGCAGTGGTCTAAGGCACTGCATTGCAGCGCTAGCTGTGCCACTAGAGATCCTGGTTCATATCCAGGCTCTGTCGAAGCCGGCCGCGACCGGGAGACCCATGGGGCGGCGCACAATTTGTCCAGGGTAGGGGAGGGAATGGCCGGCAGGGATGTAGCTCAGTTGGTAGAGCATGGCGTTTGCAACGCCAGGGTTGTGGGTTCGATTCCCACGGGGGGCCAGTATGAAAAAATTAATAAATAATAATAATAATAATAATGTATGCACTAACTGTAAGTCGCTCTGGATAAGAGCGTCTGCTAAATGACGTAAATGTAAAATGTATATAAAAGGAGTAGGACTGCCACACTCCTTTAAAAAATATATAATTATTAAACACACCGCACGCACTGACCTCACCCTACCTTTCAGTCGTCCCGTAGCAGTTTTCCAGTAGACAAGTCCCTTGTGCTGTAGAGCCCTCTGTTGGTGTTGTCCTAGCAGGTCGTGCTTGCGGAACACCTTGCCACTCTTCAGCTTGGCCAGGCTCTTGTTCTCCACGCGACTCAGCACCTCCTGCAGCTCTTGGCCCTTCTCGTACTCGCTCACGCTCATGTCCACTGCAGTGATGATGTCACGTACCTGAGTAAGTGCCCGCGACAGCTCAGTGTGCTCCTCACTGCCCTCTGGAGGTAGGAGGAACACAATGCTTCAATTCAGCGGCTATACACGATCTATACTGGCATACTTGACACAGTTTCATTGTTTAGTTGTATACATAGTGCAAAGAAGCAGAGACATATACATTCTCTCTCATGCGTGCGCTCTCTCTCTCTCTCTCTCTCTCTCTCTCTCTTTCTCTCACTCTCTCTCTCCTTCCTTCCTTCCTTCCTTCCTTCTCCCCCTCTTTGTAACTGACCAGTTGTATAGTGCAGTATCCTCTCCAGTAGTACAGGGTACTTGGTGATGCGCTGAGTCACTAGCAGGATGAACTCTGGCACCTCCCTTCTTCTGACCAGAGAGTTGTTACTCTGTTGCTGTAGAAGAGACAACAACTGGTGTGTGTTGAGTGAAAGATATCCACATTTTAAAGATGAGCTGTTGCCGAAAAACTACTTTTCCGGTTGAAGACGGCCTAAGTGGCATCGGTAGTCATAAGAAAAGTGTAATAACACACACAAAAAACACATAAAACGACACCTCCAAGACGCGTCTTGTTTTCAGCTGCATTTTCTCTCATGAGGAGGAGGAGGAACCAAGGTAAAAATCATCCTGTACAATCCCTCCTTATGAAAACCATTGACCAAAATAAAAACCAAGTTGGACTAAAAAGGAAAGGTTCCGTCAGAAACATACTTTGAGAAACACCTGGAACTTCTTGTTCTGCTGCTGCAGCTCTTTGAAGACGTTGACAGCCTCCGTGTGGTGACTACAGAACTCTCCGTACACTTGCTTCATCTTCACAGCGTTGTCTTCTGAGAACTAACAACAGAAATAGGGGATATTGAATAGGCCTTGAGTTGTCCAGAAGTGTGTAAATGTGGTGTGTGTATGAGTGTTCACAGTGAATGCGCATGTGAGTAATAAGCATACGTGCTTTTGTGTTTGCATCTGTTGTTGTGTGTGCGTGTCCACCTGTTGCAACAGTATATCCCCTATACTGTGGATGCAGTAGTTGCGTGGGTGTCCTGGCTGGGCTGAGGCGTATCGCCGCTCCTGTAGAGATCCGAAGAGATTCCTGTGGAAGAGCAGGAGAGGATCCAGACAGGGGAAGATGCGAGCCACACACTCCCAGTCCAGTTGGAGCTCGTCCAGCATCCCTCGACGAAACACCTCGGACATCACCGTCAGTGTCTGGATGTGGTGCAACTCTGTCTGCATCAGCTCTACATGGGGAGAGAGAGAGACAGACAGAGAGAGGATTATGTATACATGCCTGTTCACACACACACGCATGCACACGCACACGCACACACGCACACGCACACACAGGTGTACATGCACACACACGTGCGCACACACACACACCAACATACCGTAGATGTGAGACACTGAAAGGTGTTGCCATTCCTTTGTCATGTGCAAATGACCAATGTGCGTACACACACACACACACACGCACACACACACACTAACACACCGTAGATGACATCCTGTCGTTTGACGGTGTGTTTGTCGTGTTTTCTGCAGAACTCAGTTGTGACGGCCAGACTCCAGGACTCCACCTCAAACCCCAGCAGGTCAGCCGATAGGTCGCTGAACAGGGGTGTGTCGACTGACTCTGATGGAGGGGGGGCAAAGGTCAAATTATTAGGGAAGGACCTGAAATAGACTAGCGTCCTGTCCAGGGGGTGTGCTGTTGAATCTTTTCTGTTTTATATGTTTACAGTATGCGTTGATTATGTAGTTTAACAGGTCTGGTCCTTCTAATACCATGGTGTTGTGCAGTTGTACAGTTCAAGCCCTTACCCTCTGTGGTGGATTGGTGGTCTGTGGATGGGGGGGTCCCTGTTACCTGTACCCCTTCTTCACTAAGGGAGCAGCTGCTCCACACGTCACTGTCCACACCGACCCCCACAGCATCACTCAGCCTCCTAGAGAGAGCAAGACGGGATCTGTTAGTGAAGCTGGAGAGACCTGTGGAGTGTGTGTGTGTCCTCACCTGTCTGTAGACTCAGAGGGGCTCTTAGAGAGGGGAGTAGTCATATATTTTCTGCCTCGGGGCAGCATGGTGAGGAGGGAGGAGGAAGAGGTGAGGGGGGCAGGGGAACCCTCCCTCATCACTGAGTCTGGGGGGAGAGAGAGGGGGCGGGGGGGGAGAAAAGGGAACATGTTAAAGATGACAACATTCATCCAGCTCCATTAGATTTGTATTTAACAACAACAATTCTGCTAATTTTGTTTCAAATGATCAAAACTGTGAATGTCTCCTTCAGTTACCTGATCTGACCTCGTAATGGCTCATTCATTCAGTGTGTGAGAATTGCTCAATGTCCTCTCACTGCAGGCACACACACACACACACACACACACACACACAGTCCCTGGCCCCCATTAAACTTTAACACGTTAACAGAGAGGAGGAAGGAATACCTAACTTACTCTGCAGGAGAGATGAAAGAGAAAAGGAGGAGGAGGTTGATGAATGCCTATAGTAGAGGAGAGGAGGAATAGCTAACTTACTGTGCGGGAGAGATTTGGTCTTTAATATCGCCACATTCTTCTCCAGAGGCCTCTGAGGACATGATAATCAAATCAATATTTATTAGTAGCACTTACTTAGTAGTTGATTATCAGTACAACTACTAGCCTTCTCTAATGTGCACTTGAGATTGACTTAACAGTATGGGGGTGGTCACGAGCCCCACCCGTTTTGCATGTTAATTACGTGTCACATATCAGTTTGCAAACAATGTAAAAGAAAAAACATTTCATTGAGTTAATAAAGCCGCATACAAACTTGGTCTCTTTTTTGCTTTCTTGAGTAAGGCAGCTCCAAAATGCAGGTGTTTCAGCCTAGCTCAGTGCTTTCTGTGGTGGTGGGGCAGCCAGCGGAAAATATGGAGCGTAGGGGTTGGTAATGTTTTCTAGTTGCGCTGTGATTTGCTCAGTGTTCTGTCACTCATGGGGACACTACGTCACAGCCAAATCTAAGGGTAGAGCTCGAAAATTCAAGCACCTTGGGTGCTGCCATAGAGTTACATTAGAAGTGCCCATCCAAGATGGCTCAAGGTCATTGGCCACATAAATGACGTCAAATCATGTTAAATCTACAGTAGCTTTGATTGGACTGATCATGTCAACATCATACTTTCAAAATCTTAGCTAGCAGTCATCATCATGAATCAAGTCGACAATCTACTGGCAAATCCTTTTTAATCCTTGTCATATGAAGAGAAATAATGAAGAGAAATTATAGATAAAATGATAAAACGTTTGACAAACATAACACAACAAGTTGGAAATCACAAATTCAACAATGAGTGGTTTGGAAGGAATCAGTCGCTAACTGCAAGTATTGCAAAGCAATCACTAGCCTGCTATTCAGTGGAGTGGGTGTGCGGTCCCAAATCTGGGTTTAAGGGTCTCTTTTCCAAGCTTAAAAGGATAAACATTCAACATTGGCCATGCTGTCAATCCAGCATGACTTCTGCTGCGCTCAAAACAACTGGAAACTCGGAACTGGGAAATCTGACTTCAGTGAGTTCAAGACAACTGGGAACTCGGGAAAAAATTAGCTCCGACTGGGAAAATACATTTTGACCCGTCATCCAACTCGGAATTGTAAGTCGGGAACTCTGGCCTCTTTCTAGAGCTCCGATCTGAAGATCACTGACGTCATTATGATTCGTCCTTGTTTTTTTTCTCCAAATCCCAGTTGTCTTGAAAGCACCATAAATCCAGAGAATGCCAGACTTTGATGACAAAATTTGGCCACGAAGGACCGCCGCGCCACCTTCCTATTCAAGCACAACAAGGTGAATCCAAAAATGTATTGTATGCTACTGTATAAATTATGTAATATGCCAGGGAGATATATATATATATATATATACTGTAGCTAAGAAAGTAATACTAAGTATTATTATTTTATTATTTAAGTGTATGTTGTGTAGTAAGCTGTTAGTAGCCCATGTGCCTCACACTAATGATTTGGACCCTTTTCCCCTCTTAATTTCGCCTACTGTTCTGACTTGGTGGTGCACATGTAGCCTATAGACTATTTTAGAGAAATGTAATCATTGAATATTGTAAGAGCTTTCATTTTCTGCTTATATGCCCCCTTTATTTATCCTACAGTTCTGACTTGGTATACAGAGAGAATACTGTAAGAATGGCCCATGTTCTGAATTATGTCGCTGTACATTTCAAAAGTGCTGAACAAATAGTTATATTGACTACGTCCGTCCTAGCTCGCTCAGTAATGTTTCAATCGAAATTACATATTGTCTCTTATCCGCTCATCGTTCCCTTATGCCATAGTTTGTACATCTCAATTGTCAGTAGAAACCACATTTGTTTAAGCAACTCTTTAAAGGCAGTAAATGAGGCTGAATGAACTGTTTCTCTGCCAGCCAGGTGTAGCAGTGGTAACGTGCTGGGACTGCTGTTGGGACTCTGCTGTTGGGACAGCTTTATATCATTTACATTTTAGTCATTTAGCAGACGCTCTTATCCAGAGCGACTTACAGTTAGTGAATACATATTTTTTTACATAGGCCTGAACAGTTTGTGGGCACGTTTCATCACCATTAGAGTGCAATTAATGTATTGTTTAGTGTTATGTAGTGGCTTTGCTGGCATGCATCCATATTTAAAAAAAAGTTTTTTTGCCCCACCAAGATAAAATCGCCAGTGGTCATATGTCATGTCATATGTTTAATGAGTACATTTACAAGACAAAGCTAGCCTGGATGCCATGTTTCTCCCAGCTCAGCTATAGCATGAATAGGATCCTAGCATAGGTCTCCATGTTCTTTATGCTGCGTTCAAAACATGTCTGAAACTTGGAAATTCTAGTTTTCCGAGGATAAAAAATATATTTGAATGGCCCTCCAATTGTAATTACTGTACAAATCGGAAACTTCTCCGACATGCTGAACTCTGACAAAATGTCAGACAACAAAATGTTTTTACATAAATATTTTGTTTATAATTTGTTTGTTTGCGAGCATGTTAGCCGTAATTCTCGTTTATGATTGAAGTAAGTAGTTAGTCATTAGCCAATTGTCATTCTCTCTGAATTCAAAGCACATGAATGCATACAACTTGTTGCTCCGAGTTCAGAAGTCGTATTTCCGAACATGAATGTAGCATTAGTTCTCAGTGATATACAGTACTCATGGGGTCAAAGGTGAAATAATATGTTCAGTAGGTGACCCATACCTTCCCACATGCTGCAGCCGAGTCACGACAGCCCTTATGGACACTCAGAGAGCAGTCTAGGGAGGAAGTGACATTTCATGACTTTCACTCAGTATGTTAATTGTCACAGTGATCAGATACTAAAGTTTGACCAAACTATCCTCCATGTTAGCATCAAAGATTGCATAAATACATTCTAATTATCAATCAAATTGGATTGGTATTAGACATGGCTAAAGACCTGAGCAATGGTCCCCTACAGGGAATAGAGAGCGACAAAAAGTACAGTACTCACTGGTACACTGCAGCAACTCCTTCACAGGGAAGGGCTTGTCACAGGCCACATATACAGACAGCCCAGAGGGTCCTGAGGGAGAGACTGGCACAAACTGGTGTACGTTAGTTGCTCCTGTCTTCTCCTTTCCAGTCCTCTCTTTACCCTCCTTCACCTGCAGTGCAGAAAGCCACAGAGAAGCCAAAGCCATGAGGGGGTCTGTGTGTGTGTGTTTTAATTTGGTGTACCAGTGAGGAAGAGAGAGCGCTTGAGAGAGAGATAGATTGAGGCACAGTCAGATGTTGCTATTACCTGCTAATGTTGTGTAAACAGTGACACATTCTATTGCACAGTAATACATATGTATAGCCAAGTTATCGTTACTCATTGTATTCCTCGTGTTATTATTTTTCTATTATATATGTTGGGAAGGGTCCGTAAGTAAGCATTTCACTTTTAGCATACACCTGTTTTTTTAGGAAGCATGTGACAAATAAAAGTTAATTAGTTTGATTTGTGTATGCTTTTCCGTGCACATGTGTATATGAGTGATGGTGTATAATGGAATGTTTTTTGGATATTTTCATTGTGTCCCGCTGCTAAGATGTATGGAAAGGGAATTTTCTCTTCCCCAAATAAAGGCACCATTCCCAGACAATGGCTCCCCAGCATAGGAATCCTGACAGAGGTGTTTAAAGGTTTTTGTGGGAGAGTCCTCCAGTAGCAGGTCTGGTTTGGATAATCTTAAACTTTTATCCCAAGAACTGGATTTTGCTTTAGTACTACAGTATATTTTGTTGTAACTTGGGGAATAACCAACAGAGTGTTTATTGTCTGTATCGCCTGGGCGTACGTAGGGTGAATTTGCCCCTAGATGCTGATATTGGGTCAGTCTTGCATTTCCGCTACTAATGGTTAAGGTTAGGATTGGGGGAGGGGAAGCTGATCCTAGATCTGTACCTAGGGGAAACTTCACCCCAGAGCTCTCACCTTGATCTTGTTACGAGGGCTGGACATCCTGCTCTTCAGGAAGCTGAAGGTTCTGCTGACTTTGTATTTCTCTGACTCAACCTTGGAGGGAATTATGTATTTATCCCACTCCTCGTCCTGAATCCTGTTTTTTGGAAAGGAATTTCAGTATGACATGCCATAGTACAGTGAAGCTAGGTTTTAGCCTGGGTCACAGTCTGTTTCTGCTCTCTTGTCAACTCCTATGGAATTGTCATGCTGTATGGATTGACAATGAGCAATGGAGTTGGCAAGAGCACAAACAGATTGTGACCCAGGCTAGCTAGGTTTATCTCATTAATCTAGACCAGGGGTGGTCAACTCAAACACATTAACACCTGAATAAAACTATTCAGGGTCTAGAGATTGAAGACCATGATAAATTGATTGCCCTCCAGGATTGGCCACCCCTGGTCTACAACACCATCACTCTTAGTAACATACTTGGGTAGTTTGGAATAACCCAACAGTTTAAATTATGTCTCAATGCTGTTCATGGCATGACCTTGACACATAATATGTCAGCTATTCATAACACTACTAGTAGGTACAGTAGGCATTCCAAGTGAAAGGTATTCTGTTAGATGCAGGAGGACAATTAGAGTACATGCAATGCAATACACAGTCTTTCCATGACAAAGCAGAACTGAGCCATACAGATAACATCTGATGTAACAGACTTCATAGACAAGGCCGCCTTCTAAATGGCACCCTATTCCATATATAGTGCCCTACTTTTAGACAAAAGCCCTTTGGGCCCTGGTCAAAAGTAGGGCACTACATAGGGAATAGGGTGCCATTTGGGATTCAGCCTTAACTATCCTGCCATTGGCTAGAATCATAGTTGACATCAGGTAGGAGCCCCACTTGGACAAAGTAGCGATGAAGGGTTACTCCTCTCCCCTGTAACTATTCCCCAGGTCGTTGCTGTAAATGATCATGTGTTCTCAGTCAACTTACCTGGTAAAATAAGGGTAAAAAAAAGATATATCTATATATATATATTTTTTTTAACTTTAGGATAGGGTTAAGACAAGTGTATCATGGTTGGTTAAGAAGTTGCGGTATGGTTCAGTTTTGTAAAGAGGTAGGTGTCATAAAGAGTTGTTATTAAATTAGTTTTAAAAAAGGATTAGAGTGGGTGAACAAGGCGGAGTAGGGTGAAGTTGCCCCTAGATACTGATCATAGGTCAGTTTTGCCTTTCCCCCACTAATGGTTAAGGTTAAGATTGGCTGAGGGGAATCTGATCCTAGATCTGTAACCAGGGAAAACTTCACCCCGGAACATACCAGGCTTAGTTTAAGAAAATGGCGGCCAGGGTAAATGGGTTATTATAGGTTATGCCAGGCGTGTCTAGCGCTACTCATGCGTGACATGGGAGCCAGACTAGTGAAATGGGACATACTCTTTGAGGAACTCTGAGAGGGTGAGGTGTTGGAGTGATGATGACAAGCTGCCTTCATCCTCAGCAGACTGGGCCCGCTTACGGAAACCCACATCCCTATGGTGAAACACACTGGATGACTGAGTTCTGGTGGTCACTGCTTACCATGTATGTCTTAAAACCTTTTCAACAGATCTTGAGACTACTGCACAGGCGGTCTAAGCACATGTACACTAGGGTTAAATATATTTTCCAGGTTTTTTACAAATGTTCCGTCCTGAGAATAAATCACCTTCCCCGGTATTTCCCGCCAAAACCGGAACTGTTGCATATAAATATGTCTGGATTTGATTAGAGCAGTGGTCACCAACCTTTTCTGAGTCAAGATCACTTTCTGAGTCCAAAGGCAAGCCGAGATCTACCGCTCAGAATTTTTTTTTTAACATGACTTAAAAACATAAACCTATGCAACATGAACCTATTAAAAACAGTTCTATAGCATTGAGGTTTGTAGTAAGCTATAGGCTCAATACATTATCAGTACATATTGGCTATGCTTGAATTGCCCTGCCAATGTTGTTCTTCTCAGACCATTTTGATATTATATTTCAAAATGTTAAGTATATGATCACACTGGTATAGATCATGTGTTGTATTACTTGTGAGGCACAGCTGAGTGAGTATAATAATTCGCTTTATTTTACTGGACTGATGGCCTGCATCTGATGGGAGGGAGGGTGGGAGGGAGAGTGCAGCAGTGAGGCTGCCTCTCACCCGACTCACCGTCCCTCCGCTCTCCCTTCCTCCTCCACTGAGAAAAGGGACACAGTCTTCCAGCTGATGGTGAAACTCAAGTCGCATTACATTATTTCTGCCTCATGCATCAATTCATGTTGTTACTCCTATGACCAGAGAAAGTGAAATATTCCTTGATATGAAAAAATACACAAGGTGCTAATAATAACAATGCAAGCTTATTGAAACACTTTGCTATTCTCATTCATTGCAGCTGCAGTGCTGGTTGTAGCCTTAGCGAAAGTAGGGAGAACGCGCATTTATGGCTTATAAAAGTGATGAACAAAGTGTTGACAGTGCTGAATAACAACTTGAACATGAACTTATAAAAACAGCAGTTATTTGCTGTATTAATTGAGTCTCTCTCTAGTCATGGTTTTAAACTTTTTTAAATCCTACAGTATCAACTTTGCTGTGCTTCTTTTTTACAGCCTATGGCTCGAGGAAACTGTGCAGACACGATGATCTGAGCTATCTGATTGGCCAGTGGTAGGCCTATAGGTGCACTTAATTTGCTCTCTGGGCCTGCCGGGTATGCAGAGTTCTAACACAGATAGAACAATGAGACAGATATTTCACCAGATGTATAAATGTGAAGCTTCCAATTGGCATTTTCACTCACTACCAAATATGGTGATGAGAGGAAGCCCAGTGGGAGAAGATGGAGTGAGATGGATTTTGGCCAACATTCTGCAAATTTTATTATCGATGAAACATTTGATCTCCATACGGTTTTCTGTTTCCAAAACTAGAATCTGTACTAAAAACAGAGTGGAATGTGTTTAGTAGACTTTACCCTTTGCCAACGTTTCAAAAAATTGCGCTGTTTAGAAGGAGTGCAAGGGCGAATTTAGTTATTGCACACGCGCACTTAACAGAGTAGGCGTTCCCTAATGAAAATATGCAAATAAATGTTAGAACGTGCCAATAGGATCTCACTAGCTCGTGCTTGGCTCTGTCCACCTTGTTCTGCCCACTATGATTCCTTTGTTCCCATTGGAAAGGACAGGCTCTAGTCTATCTTCGGTTAGTTATAAAAATCTTTGGTTCTACCTTCAGACACATGAAATGGTTTAAAATGGGAACACTTTACCTTCCCAGAGCTAGGGCTGCTGAATCAAGTGCACCTACCGCCAACAGTGCAAAAAAAATACAAATAATTGGGAACGCAGGGCTTTATCGTTGTTGTTTTTTACCGAAATGTTTGGTGATCAACTTTGAATGCCTTGGAGATCGAGCCACTGATTACCAAAAAAAAACAGTCACAAATTGCCATGCCCCTTAATCCTGGTTGATGTGTCAACAATCATCTGCAAGTTAATAGCAGTCAGCAGTTCACACACCAAGTAGGCTCCTGAGAAGACAGGCAGCCTACTAAAGTAGATGGCCATAGCTAGCAAAAAGACAGTACTAGACAACAAATAAAGACAAAAATTATACTTATCACTCCTGGATATATCAGGAGTCCTCTAGCTAAAGAATGAAGCACACAGAGATGGAGCCTGAGAAGCTGGTTATATACACTCAGAAAAGAAGTGAAACCACTCCCCCTCCAATACAGCCTCTGATTACCAAAACTGATTACACACCTGGATTGTGCAACATTTATCCAAAATAATTTTCAAAAGTCTTCAAGGACTGTCAAATTGGTTGTTTAACATTGCTAGACAACCATTTTCAGGTCTTGCCATAGATTTCCAAGAAGAGTTAAGTCAAAAATGTAACTTGGCCACTCTGGAAAGTTCACTGTCTTCTTGGTAAGCAACCCCAGTGTGTTTTAGGTTATTGTCTTGCTGAAAGGTGAATTCATCTCTCTGTATCTGGTGGAAAGCAGCCTGAACCAGGTTTTTCCGTCTAGGATTTTGCCTGTGCTTAGCTAAATTTGAAGTCCTAATGAAGCACCCAGAAGTCAAACGTTTTCTGTAAGTCTTCACAAGGTTTTCACACACTGTTGCTGGTATTTTGGCCCATTCCTCCATGCAGATCTCCTCTAGAGCAGTGATGTTTTGGGGCTGTCGCTGGGCAACACGGACTTTCAACTCCCTCCAAAGATTTTCTATGGGGTTGAGATCTGGAGACTGGCTAGGCCACTCCAGGACCTTGAAATGCTTCTTACGAAGGCACTCCTTCGTTGCCCGGGCGGTGTGTTTGAGATCATTGTCATGCTGAAAGACCCAGCCACGTTTAATCTTCAATGCCCTTGCTGATGGAAGGAGGTTTTCACTCAAAATCTCATGATACATGGCCCCATTCATTCTTTCCTTTACACGGATCAGTCGTCCTGGTCCCTTTGCAGAAAAACAGCCCCAAAGCATGATGTTTCCACCCCCATGCTTCACAGTAGGTATGGTGTTCTTTGGATGCAACTCAGCATTCTTTGTCCTCCAAACACGACGAGTTGAGTTTTTACCAAAAAGTTCTATTTTGGTTTCATCTGACCATATGACATTCTCCCAATCCTCTTCTGGATCATCCAAATGCACTCTAGTAAACTTCAGACGGGCCTGGACATGTACTGGCTTAAGCAGGGGGACACGTCTTGCACTGCAGGATTTGAGTCCCTGGCAGCGTAGTGTGTTACTGATGGTAGGCTTTGTTACTTTGGTCCCAGCTCTCTGCAGGTCATTCACTAGGTCCCCCCGTGTGGTTCTGGGATTTTTGCTCACCGTTCTTGTGATCATTTTGACCCCACGGGTGAGATCTTGCGTGGAGCCCCAGATCGAGGGAGATTATCAGTGGTCTTGTATGTCTTCCATTTCCTAATAATTGCTCCCACAGTTGATTTCTTCAAACCAAGCTGCTTACCTATTGCAGATTCAGTCTTCCCAGCCTGGTGCAGGTCTACAATTTTGTTTCTGGTGTCCTTTGACAGCTCTTTGGTCTTGGCCATAGTGGAGTTTGGAGTGTGACTGTTTGAGGTTGTGGACAGGTGTCTTTTATACTGATAACAAGTTCAAACAGGTGCCATTAATACAGGTAACGAGTGGAGGACAGAGGAGCCTCTTAAAGAAGAAGTTACAGGTCTGTGAGAGCCAGAAATCTTGCTTGTTTGTAGGTGACCAAATACTTATTTTCCACCATAATTTGCAAATAAATTCATAAAAAATCCTACAATGTGATTTTCTGGATTTTATTCTCTCAATTTGTCTGTCATAGTTGATGTGTACCTATGATGAAAATTACAGGCCTCTCTCATCTTTTTAAGTGGGAGAACTTGCACAATTGGTGGCTGACTAAATACTTTTTTCCCCCACTGTATATGGAGAGTGGAACTCAGTAAAGTGTTGTATTGGATTTGCCCCAAACATAACACTTTGTATTCAGGACAAAAAGTGAATTGCTTTGCCACATTTTTTGCAGCATTACTTTAGAGCAGGGTTTCTCAAACTCGGTCCTCGGGAACCCAAGGGAAGCACATTTTGGTTGTTGCCATGGCACTACACAGCTGATTCAAATAATCATCAGCTGTGTAGTGTTAGGGCAAAAACCAAAACTTTGCTTTAGTGGCTTATTGCAAACAGGATGCGTGTTTTGGAATATTTTGATTCTGTATAGAATGCTTCCTTCTTTTCACTCTGTCAATTAGGTTAGTATTGTGGAGTAACTACAATGTTGTTGATCCATCCTCAGTTTTCTCCTATCACAGCCATTAAACTCTGTAACTGTTTTAGAGTCACCATTGGCCTCATGTTGAAATCCCTGAGTGGTTTCCTTCCTCTCCGGCAATTGAGTAGGGAAGGACGCCTGTATCTTTGTAGTGACTTTGTAATTAATAACTTCATGCTCAAAGGGATTGTCACGGTTTCGGCCGAGGCTGCCTCTCTTCCTTGCTCGGGCAGGCTTCGGCGTTCGTTGTCTCCGGAATACTAGCTGCCACCGTTGCATGTTTCTATGTTCGTTTGCTTTTGTCTGTTTGTTGTGACACCTGTTATCGTTTAGTGTAATTAGTGTCCTATAAGTTTCTCGTTGTGTTTGTCTAGTGTTGTGTGTGATTGATTTATTTATGTTGTGTGTTTGCTTGTAGGAATTACCTATTCGCTTGGTTGAGCTTTACTCCACTGTGTTGGAGCGTTTTACGCACCTGTGTAGTGCGCCTTTTGTTTTGTCGCCTACGTGCGTAGTTTCGCCTTCGGGCAAGTTTGTTCTATTTTTCCTTGTTGGAAATTTCACTAAAGTCTTTTGGACTATACTTCGGTGTCCTGCGCTTGATTCCACCACTACACCCACCTACAGCATTACTGACAGGGATATTCAACGTCTGGCTTTTTAATTTTTACCCCTCTACCAATAGGTGCCCTTTTTATTTTATTTTTAATTTAGG